CCCATCCCCCCGACTCACACAGTGGTCAGGCGCTGACGGTCCACCGAGATGGTTTGGCAGGTGGAATGCAGCTCCACACGGGCTGTCGACTCTGTCGCGTCCTTCACCACCCCGATGTAGCCTGTAGGGTGGGATGGGGGCTCAGGGTGGGGGTCCGGGCCTCCTTGAGACCCCCTCCCCTGCTTGGGGGGGACAAACAGGCACCCAGCACCCCACTGGAAGGCACCCACCTTTGTAAGGTCCTTGGGAGATGCGCACCGTCTGCCCGATGAGGTCGTTATCCCGCCGCCCGCGGCCACGGCTCATGCCGCCACCACCAAAACCACCACGTTGGCCTGCAGGATCGAGACAGGGCTCGGGGGCGTCCTCAGGGACACCCCCCCAGCCTCGGGGACACCCAACACTCACCAGCCCCGCTGGGGTGCATCGGGCTGCTGATACGAGGGCTCATGGGGGCGAAGCCGCCCACGGTGAAGTTGGTGACGTCCCGTGGCTGCGAGAGAGAAAGAAAACGGTGCCTGGAGGTGGGGGCAGCAACAAAACTGGGGGACTGCAGCCCCCCCAGCAGTCCCTGGGGGTGTCCCTGGTGCATCCCCACCTTGGAGCCGCCTGCCAGGACGAGGTGCCGGGTCTTGCAGACAAACATGCCACCGTTCTCCACCAGCTTCTTGCAGTGCAGGAAAGCGAAGCCCCGGAAAAGGTGCCGGATCTCCCCCTCGCGGCCCTGCCCCAGTAAAAGGGGTGGTTAAGCCCCGGTAAAAGAGGCGGGGGAGAGTCCTGGAGAGGTGATTAGATCCTCCCCTCGGGAATGGGAAGGACCCAGGGGGCTGTGGTGTCCCCTTGGTGCTGGGAAGGATGCAGGGGGGTGCCAGGAGGAACCCCAAATATACCAGGCACCCCCCCATGGTGCCAGGAGTGACGCGGCTCACCCCAGGGATGGTCCCTGAAGCATGGACAGACCCAGAGCATCCCTGGGGGCACCCGAAGCATCACCCCCCCAGGCCTGCCCCCGCTGAAACACCGTAAGGTCGTACCGAGTGAGGCCCGTCTATGACTTTGACAATGTCCTTGACGTGGATGTTGTTCTGCTCCGAGTCGAGAGCGACAGCAAAGCGGTTGTCCTTCTTCCTGGTGACGGCCTGGTGCCGCACTGTCACCACCTTCCCGTACATGTTCAGCACCTGCAGGGACAGCGAGAGGCCGGGAGGGGGGTGGCAAGAAACGGAGACCCCCCTGGGGTGGAGGACACGGATGCGGCATGGGGATGAGCGTGGAAACCGCCCTGGGACATAGGCACAGCTCCTCCAGGCGTCCTCGGGGAGATGGGACTTACCTGGAAGGTCTCCCGCTCCAGGCGGACGATGACGCCCACTGTTTGGGGGTCCAGCTGCACCAGCTCGCCCCACTCGTGTTGCCCCCCGACATCCACGCCAGATGCTGTCTCCGAGCAGAGTTGCAGGTCCCGTGGCAGAACCTTGAGCTGGTGGCGAGAAGTGAGGCACAGCCATTTCCCCTCTTTTTTCTCCCCAAAAAACAGTCTGTTTTGGGGCAGGACACAGCACCGAGCTGGACTTTTCACCCCCCCAAATACCTCATGCATGGTGAGGTCAGAGAAGAGGATGACGAAGTTTTCCTCCACCCTCACGATCAGCCCTGTGTCGCCCTCAAAACGCCCTGCGATCACCTTGACGTGGTCGCCCATCTTGAAATACTTCCGCAGCTCCTGAGCGGGGAACTCCAGCATGTCCTGGGTGGGCGGAAGAGAACGCCGTGGGCACAGGGAAACGGGGCTGGGGGGGTCCTGGGGTGGCCGCAGCGGCCCCAGGAATCACCTGGCGCTGTTTCCTGGGGACTCCCTGACCTTCAAGTCCTCGTGTTTGGGCATGATGGTGATCTTGTTGCCATCGACGCTGAGGATTTTGCCTTGCAGGTTGATCAGCTCGCCCTCGCACACCTCCACGTTGTCACCAGGCTGGAAGTTGTGCTCTCGTTCCTTCCCTGGGGTGATGGCGGGGACAGTGAGGGGTCGGTGCCACGGGGACGGCACCGCAGGGACAGCGGTGGCACTCGCTTACCCGTGCTCTCCGTCACCACCTCCAGATCGATGCCTTCAGGCTGGTCCTCGAACTTCTCCAGTTCTGACAGAGTGGGCTTCACCCCCTCTGTTATCTGCCAAGAGCGGAGCCGGTGGCCAAAACCCTCCCCCCTGAGGAGCCTCCAGCCTCCCAACGCCCCTCAGTGCTAGAAAGGGGGCAGTTTTGGGGGAAAAAAGGTGGGTTTTAGCTTCAAACCCTGGCATGGCGGAGTAGCAGTGCTCACCACGGCTGACATGGCGAAGCTCTTGAAGAGGAATCCCTTGCGGCTATAGCGGTTGCCTTCAAAGATGAGAAAGTCGCCGTCGGATGCCACGTCACCTCCCAGCGACCTGGGACAAAACCCAAATCACCCCTTTGGTGAGCAGGAGCCCCCCAGGGATGAAAGCTCCCCCAGGGGGGTGGTTTTGGGCCGCGCCTGATGTCCCCTGTCACAGAGACGGTTACCTACCGGATCTTCTCGGCATCAAAAAGCCGTTGGGGGGGTCGCTTGAACTTTTTCCTCTTGGCAAACCAGTCCTTCTGCAGGGTGGGGGGCAACAGGGAGTGAGCGAAGGGTGGTGGGGCGGTGGCAGTGCCAGCAGCAGTGCGGCATAGATCCGCTTACCAGGCTCATGCGGGCTTTGATCCGGTCGAAGTCGATGCGAGGGATCATCTTGAGGGAGATCTGATTCTGGCTGGGCTCCACGTAATCCACCTGGGGGACACAAATGCAGGGTAAGCCAGGTGTGCAGCCCCACCATGGTGTTCCCGTCTCCTTCCTCTCCTCACCTGGGCGATGTCATCCTTGTAGATCCCCCTTTTGAGGCGCACCCAAGATTTGGGCTTGAGGTTGGTGACCTCCTTCACCACCTTGAGAACGTCGGTCATCTCCTTGATGGGGACCATCTGCTGGTTCCAGTAGCCCATGCGCAGGTTGCCCACCCCCTCAATTGCCTGCTTGACGTGGGTCTGCTTGTAGGCTTCCACGTAGATGTATCCCTTGACGTGCTCAGGGGCCACCACTGACTTGATCTGCAGGGGCTGGAGGACAAGGGGAGGTGTTGGGGACACGTTGGGGACACCATGGCGCTGCCACCCCCTGGTCCAGCCGCAGACTGGCTCCCCCAGGGCCTCACTGTATCAGTGAACTGGTAAGCAATGAACTTCCGCATGAGGGCGATGGCCGTGGCACGCTCCTCGCCGATCTGGGGACAAAAAGAACGTTTTGGGGATCGGGATGAGGCCCCCCTGCACCACACCAAGCCCCCGTGTCCCTCCCCAGCACCCACCTTGCACTTCACAGTCCAGAGATTGGGATCCCTATGTGGGGGTGGAGAGGGAAACACCATTACAGAGTAGCCCATCTCGATTTGCTCCTTTTTCTCCCCAAAACCACATGGGTTTCCCCCCCGAGACACCCTGTGACTCACTTGACTCCGGGCAGCAGCTGCTGCTGCGTGATGTCGTCCGAGAGCTCATCAGAGCCACCGTAAACACTGAAAAAAAAGAGAAAATTATAAAAAAGTAACAAAAAGGACAGGTGGTGGGGAGGATGCTCTCTGTTGGGCTGCAGATGGGGACTCACGTCTCTCCCACTGAGGACTTGGCGTATTTCTTCATGTAATACTCGCCCAGCTCCTCTTCGCGCTGGTCCCTGGGGAGAGGAAAGGAGAAGGAGAGGCGTCAGCCCAGATCACGCCACCCTGATGGACAGATGGACACATGGACGGAGCCACCGTCACCTCCAGAGGTTCTGCAGCCGCCGAGCGCCGGAGCGATCCTCATCCAGCACCACGTTATCGATGTTGGAAGCTGCAAGGAACACGAAGGTCAGGATGTTGCACTCAGAAGATGGCGTGGGGGGGTGGGCTGGGCTTGCTTGGCCCCGGAAGGGGACACACACACACCCCGAGGGGAAATGTGGGGGGACAGCAGGGTGATTTGGGCTTACCTTCGATCTCTTCTGCTCAGGAGGAAGGAGTGGCGGTGGAGGATGGAGCAAATAATAGCAGCAAAACCACCCGTGGGTGAGGGGGGAACAAAGGGGAAGGAATCAAAATTCAGACAGTGGCACGGGGGGAAAAGGAGGGGGGGAAATAAAAGCAAAAGAAAAACCCCAGGCAAGTGCGGATGAGATGTGCTGAGTGGACGGAGACGTGGGGAGGGAGGGAAGGACAGACAGTGGGAGGCAGGGTAGACACGCCAGCCCTCCCACTCCCTCTCAAGTGATGGGATTTTAGGGGAAAAAGGGACTGGGAGGGGGGATAAGAGCTGGAGGGCGTGGGTTGGCCCCCACAGAGCCAGCACTGCGGGGCTGCGTATCCATCCTCTTCCTCAGGCCTCCAGGACAGGAAAAGGGCCCGGGGGGGCCCCCAAAGCGGCATGGGGATGCTCCTCACCTTTCTCCAGAATGTCCTCGGCCCCGTCTTCCCACTGATCCTCGTCCTCGTACTCATCATCCACGTCTGGTGGGGTTCAGGGTAGTGAGCAGGGCTGGGGGGGTGGCAGCGAGCCCCCGCAATGCCCCTTTAGCCCCCTCCAGCTCACCAGCCTCATCCAGGATGAAGCCGCCATGGCGCGGCTTTTTAGCCGGTCGGTCGTCATCTTCCTCCTCTTCCTCCTCGTCATACTCCTCCTCCTCTTCCTCCTCCTCCTCCTCGGCCTCCTCCTTCTCACTACCAGCCACGCTGGCACGCTCCTCCTCGGCCTGGGGAGTATGGGGTGTGAGGGAGGGCACCCACATGCACCCCACCACCAGCTGTAGCCTTCAGCCTCACCTCGTTCTCCTCAGCCTCCTCAGCCTCACTGCTGCGCTCGCTCTCGTCCTCCGAGAAGTTGCTGTCGTCACTGTCCGACATGGCGGCACTGGGGGTTCTGGGGGGGGTGATAGGGGCGTCCCAGGAGGATGGACAGAGTGGTTTGGGGATGTCCTGTGGGGGTCTGGGGAAGTGGGGGTGCCTTGGGAGGACCTGAAGGACAGGCAGGGGAGTCTGGGGGTGTCCTGGCAGGACTTTGGGGATAGAGGGAGATGGGGCTGCCCCGGGGGAACCTGGAAAAGCAGGCAGGATGATCTGGAGGTGTCCTGAGGAGGCCTCGGGGTGTTCTGGGGGGTGCGCAAGGGGGTCTGGGCATGTGATATGGGAGTGTCCCGGGCTGGGAGAAGGAACAGATCG